AAAACAAAGATAATAGAGCTTGGGAAAATAATGTTTTAGGCGAACGTCTGCTAGAGACAGGCAAGCTGTCTGGCAACAAATTCTTTGGGGAAACACAGCTCGATACTCTTGCTGAAGGGGATCAAGTGAAATTACAAGACTGGGAAAAGTAATGTGTCTTGAGAGGTTAAATGCAAAAGTCTGATTGCTCCTCTCAATTATGCCAATCTTACTTTGTGAATTCACTGTTTGAGAAGTGCTGATTTCCAAATTACACTGAGATGAGAAAGAGGATAAACCAGTGAAACTACTAAATGAAACCCAGCCATTTTATATAATATATGTAACCCAACTGATTTAGTACAAATTCTGTACACATTTGAAATATCATGAAAATAGTGTCTTTAATATACAGTTTATATACTTACAATACACGGTTTAAATTTGTTCATATACATTACAGGGATATTTATTTGCACCTGGTTTAAATAATCATCTGCCTTCAGCCTTTTACAAGAAAGCCCCAAACAGCACAGAATTCCACAAAAACCATGCTTCGTTTTATAACGGAAATGAACTAAGCCAAAGTTTTGGGGCTTTCTTTTTTTTTCCCCCCACGTGTTACTTTTGTGACAGACCCAAAGTGAATCTAAAGAGCTAAGAACTAACATATTTTCAATATAATTCAGAAGATTGTCCAAGTCAAGAGAATCACTCTGAAGATTTTCACACTGAAAATTTGGTTATTATGCACAAAAATGGTAAAGTCTGAACAACTCCTGCACTATTAGGAGTTTCAGACAACAAAGAGTCATTTATTGCTAGGTCTCAACAAGGGGCCTCCATTTCCTCACTGCCCAGTCACCCCTAATACAGTAAATAAAGAGGATGATCCCTCATGCTGATAAAGATTTCATCTGTACCTTATGACTTGCATATGGGAATGCTGCAATTTCAGAGTATCAGAAAGAGGAGCCAGGAGAGCTGGGGTAAGCTGTAGTCCTCTTCACATAGGGCTGGTGTTTGGCTTTGAAGCAGCATGGTGTACACCCTGCCTGGCCTGCAAGCAGGACTTTGCTGGCTGGCATTGCAGGCAGGCACCACACTGGGCAGCACACGAGTGGCTGGTGCCAGCACAATTTATTTAGTGAGAGGACAAATGAGCAGTTGATTCAAGAAGAAAACATAGGAGAAAACACTTCAATTATTTATAGACAGGTTTGAAACATGGTGCTTTTTGAGGCAGCTTCACTATTTATGATGGTTCTCTTGAAGCTGTTGTTGTGGAATGAAGTCCATTAGGGTGGCAAGAAAAACTGTTGTATTGGAAAAAAACCCCTGTGTAATACACAGTTACTTCAAATCTTTGCTTCTAGCTGAAAAGAACACTTCAAAATATATTTCTCTTCTAATTTTGGAGGGACCAAATGTTTTCTAAGTTTCTAGCTGTAGGCAATTTTTATAATAGGGCAAGAGTAAGAACACAAATATGCAGTTTGAGTTGATTTCAATACAGCTTTGGTTAGCCAGGCAAGAGAGTAGTAAAGAATCTCAACCCTAGGCACAATGAGTGTTTAAAGGAAACCAGCATTTCCCCTCGTTTCCTCTCATTCCATCCCCTGCCCAATTCTGTGTCCACCTCCAGAAAAGCCTCCATGCCAGAATCCAGCTTTCACCACTGAAAGCAGCATCAGTCACCACGTGACTGTTGCATAGAAAGGATGTCTACCCTGATGCAGGACAGACACAGCTCCATACAGAATGACACGCCAGATTTTTTTGCTACCAAAACCCGCAGTTAAACAAAAACCCCAAGGGTAACACACAGCTCAGCCACCGATACTGAAATAAGCACCAAGGAAAGAAATCCTAGGTTTGGACTGGCCTCTTTTAGTAGACTGCCTCCAAAAAGTAAGAGATTTTAGGCCCACTCTGGCACAACATGTGTTGTCTGAACTCAATGGCTACATCTCTGTTAGTAGACAAAATGGACCAGAGCTTGTTCTCAGGCCCCAAGGACAACCAACACAACTCACATCAACATGGCTGAACTCCACTACCTTCCAAAATCAAACTGGTTTTCCCCACTGCTGACCTCCGAGCTGTGCTTGGCAGTCGCCATAGCCTGGTTACCTATGGAAAGTACCCCTTTAGATAACCCAGGATTGAAAGGCCAAGCCACCATACTCCATCTGCCTGGTTTGCTCCTCACTCTACCTGTTTTACCAGAGCAGATACTTCAGTTCAGCTTGGGCATCACAGCAGGCAGGTCAACACTGCACTCATACAAGTCATAGAACACAAAGGTTAGGAACATATAAATCCCCAAAAGTTGCTTGGAAAAATGAAGGTGATGAGTGGCTAAGGGCAAAAGAAAAGGTTAAATACTAACACATGATGTATAAAAATAAGTAAGCAGTGTCAGGCCAGAACAAGACAACTGGAAGGACATCAATAGCAAGTTTGCAGTTAGAGGTTTTAAGCTGTGCTTTTGCACACAGGCTCCACTTCTGCCATCAATGCACATTTCTGGGCCTTTCAGCAGGCCAGTTGTATTTTGGGCTATATATATGTGATGTTAATGCAGCACAGACATGAATGCAAATTCCATCAGGCTCTGTGCAATAATAACCACTCCAAACAGGTAAGCAGAGATAACAGAATAGGTGTCCATCCATAGTCAAAGAACACTATTTTCTCAGGGATGTTTATATCCTGGGGGGTGTCAGCAATATTTAATGTTAATATTACCAGGACTGCAATATCCTTTTTTTCTTTTTTTTTTCTTCCTAAGAGATATTCTGTTTTTTTTAACCTGGAATTAACAAGCCAAGCAAGACAATGAGAAGCACCTGACATTTAAGATTTGGCCCTTTCAAATTTGAACACTCATTTGACACAGCGAGGGTTAAAAGGCAATTCAATTCAATTTGCATGTGTCTACCAACAAGCATACACATCTGAACAATACTTGAATTTGATTCAGTCTGACTTGCAGCTAAAATATTTTAGGATGTTAATTAAAAAGCATCCAGAGAAAGCTATCGATCTGTTGCTAAAAGTCAATACGTTACAAAAAAGAGTAGGATTATGAACTCTTGGGGTTTTTCTATTGGGATATTTGTTGGTTTTCTAGTACCCACAACAATTGGGCTTTACTCTCCAGTTGGGAACTGGGGGTTTGCATTATTGCAAGGCAAATAATGCATCTGCAGTTCAGCATGGAGACATGACATGAAATTTGCCTCGATAACACATTCTGTTTCCAAATAAATTCTTTTTAGTGAGTCAATATGGTTGAGGAAACAGGCAAAACCAGACTCCTGTTTTTGGCCCTGCTCTGTATTTTCTCTTGATGCTCCCACTAGGTGTCCTACAATGGAGATATTTATTTGTACATCGAAAAGGTAAGAAAGGCAGGTGATGGCATCACCCTGGCTAGGGCTCTGCTCAGCAGCAAGTGAAGGTGAAGTTGCTCTAGCATGCCTGGCTCTGACCACCTGAGGATCCTGGGCATGCACACTTGCTGAGGACAGATACCACAGACTGTTTCCTGAGGAGCTCCACAAATCCGTGATTCCAGTATACAAAGGCAGGGGATCCTGGGGTTGGACAGACATTTCAGAGAGCTCTGCCAACTATAAGAAATCTGCAAAAGACTACCAAATGGTAATCCTATTTCTAACCTTCAGAGCAGTGAAATTTGTAAGGTCTCCAGGGGCAGACTAATGTCCCCTTGTTGTCTCTGTGCTCATTTTAACTGTTGCTTCCATGTGACATCTACTGCAGCGAGTTTTTGCAACTTGGCAACTGAATTAGCACATCTTTTGAAGTTACAGTCCCTCCCACTTTGACACCCACATCCTCCTAACCCACTGCAAACAAGACAGGTAAACTGAAAACATCACAAGCATTTCCTGTGGCATGACCCAAAACCCCACTTGGCCCATTCTCAGCAGTGTGCCACGCACTGCCTCTGATCCCTCCCACCTCACTACTGCTTTATTTGAAAGGCAGGAGCACTATCACCTTCCCACACAGATCCGACCGCAGGAACAGGATAGAAGATCCGAGTGTACTTTCCGATGACAGCAACAGCAGCCGAGGAAACATGAGGAGCTGTTACCTTTCCCCACAGCAAGGCTACTGCAAGGCTGTGCTAGCAGGCTACTTCAGCAGGCAGGAGCTGCTGAGAAGAGAGTCTGTGCACTGAACTGCCTTTCCCATGAGAAAGCTGCACGACCAGAATTCATGCTATTTACTCCAGCCATCCGACTACAAAAGCAACTTTTGAAATCTACAGGTCATAAACTTTTAATTGGCCAGGGCAGAGTGGCTCAGTAGAAAATCCCCCTTCTCTTTCCCCTCTGGGCAACGAGCTAAGCAGGATCCTTATTTTAAAAAACATTTAACTCTTTTTGCTCAAAGTAACATGGAAAATGCATCCACATTACAGATAGTCAGGAAGATACTGTTAATAAAAATATGCTGCAAGAAGAGTGTATTAGTGGCACTTCACAGCAATTCTTAACATTTTCAGATGTAGTGTCAAAACTATGTTTTTGTATATCTGAACATGCTTTTTGTTAACAGAAACGGAAGAAAGTCACAGCATGTTGCCAAATATTATTTGAACAGAAATAATCCCGTAAGAAATACATTTTTTTGCAGTTAACACAAAATTGTAAACTGGATTGGTGTGTGTCTTTCAACATCAAACTGTTCAGTAATAAATATGACTAAGTCTTAACAGACTATGGAGTAAAAGTTCCCTTAGTGTCCAGTTTTTAGCAGCTGTTCAATGTTCAGGGATGCACAAGGCACACCTCTGCAAATTCTCTACATTTATTATTGACATACAAAAAAAAATCCATTCACCACTCAAAAATGTTTATCTGCATAGTAAGAATTTTTCTACTACTATTTACAGGAAGGATTTTTAGTGCAAAAAACAGGAAGTGATGTATTAGTTGAAGTGTATCAAGCACACCTCGTACAGTTTCACCAATAGCTAGTCAGCATCACATCTTGGGCCGCCAGCCATTAATGAACTGCAGTATTTTCTTAACCTGCAATTTGCTTAGCTTGAAGTCTTCTGATAGGATTTCTTCTGTAAGCTGAACCAGTAAATTGCCATCAATCTTCTCCGTAACAAAAAATGATATGACATCTTCTGACAGGCCAATAAACCTCAATGACTTAGACACTTCCTCTATCGAGAGTCCAGAAAGGTCCGTGGGTGGCTGCCAGGGAGAGCCATCCCCACAAGATCTTGGTGCTAATTGGAGGTGGAGGGGAGATGAGAAAGGATAAGACACAGAGAACGTATCCTGCATGCCCTTTTTAACGAGATACTGATCTTCCAAGAGGTCTGGAGAGCCAGTTTTTGACTCCTCCTCAGCACCATCTATTTTCAGTGGCAAGGGACACATGTCTGTAACTGTTTTATCGTCACTTGACTTCGGTGCCCGAGGAGGTAAGGCAGGACAGGAATGGCTCTGCTTTGTGTTGCTGACTCCCAGAGTTTTTTCATCAGTGCAGTCTAGAGAGTAACTTGCTGACTTTGGACAGCTAGAGATGGTGTTTGTGAACTCTGCTGGAGTCAGCGGGGAGTACCCTGCTGGGAGCTCACACCCATCGAAGTCAAAAGTCAAAGGTGCTGGACAGTTTCTCTTTGGCGTACCTGGAGTCTTCTGTCTGGGGTAACTGTAGCTCCTGCTTGGATCGAGCAGGAAATCACTCCTATTCAGGCCTTCTGCAGTTCCTGAAAAATGGTTTGGCCAAGATAACCTCGAAGGCAGAGCTTCAGCTGAGGGGCTTCCCAAAGGCATCGTGCTCTCGGGTTCTTTGGATTCGGTTTTCATCATGTTACAAGGGTAGCAGGAAACAGGTGTGCTCTCAGTTGGATTGGTGTTGTCATTCTCTGTGACACTGCTTAAGGAACAAAGCAGAAAGGATGCTGTTAGCGTGAAAAAAAATGTGGCATTGGAATAAACTCATAAATCATCTGACAGAGTCAGAGGGTGACTGTCACAAGGAAAGAATCGTCTTTCCTCCAGCAGAACTTTTCAGACTTGAATTAACATGTTTGAATTAATGCATTGACAGTTCTTTTACCCCTTCTACAAGCCTGACAAGATGCTGATATACCCAAAAGCCTCATGTCTTGGTTTTTCAAGCTCATAAAAAAGTAGATGTCTCAATTTGGTTCTGTGTCATCTCACAAATACTCAGTTTTTCACTGTCGAATTCCTGAGGGATACTACCATGGATAAGAAACAGCTTCACATATACTAGATGATGTTTTACATTTCTATATCACAGATGTGTCAACAGCAGGCAAAACTTGTATCAGGGCAGGTCACCATTGCACTAGACCATGAGCACCAGCTCACAGTACAGAGACACAGAGTAAGTTAATGCTTACTGCCAAAGGCAGAGTTTTATCTGAAAGGGTAAGCAGACCTAGCTTACATGTTGAAGTATCAGGCTTTAAGCTTACCCCACAGTACCTTGTTTGTGTGTCCATATCTTTGAAATGCTTTGACAAGAAACACTTGCTCTTCAAAGGCACCTAAAGAAAGTCAAATCACCTACTTCCAGGTGGTGAACTAAGCTCAGCCTGTCCGAGGGAACTGATGGTTAATACCCAGGTGTTCCCAAGAGACAGAGACGCCAATAAAAGCATTCAATCTGTTAGCAGAAGCAAATATTTGCTGCTTTTATGCCACTTTCTCAAAGAAAGTCTGAAAGATTGCACTGATCTTTGGAATTTTGGCCAATTAAGCCAGAACACTGGAAAAACAATTAGTAGACTTACAAAATCCTAACTCAACACAACAGACAGAAACCAACAGTTGAAAAAAATTGTTTTAATAACTCACCTTTCTCATCTGAAAACTCAAGAAAGAAACTCAATAGTCATCCTGTGACAGCTTAGTGAAAACTGCTTGAGAACAGCAGCAGCTTTCAAAAAACCATCATAGTTTTGAATGGATCGACACAAAATTACTTCCCTGTGTGCTTACAGTGAGTCAGAGAGGAAGCCAACCTGGACTTGCCCAGCTCAAACACAAAGCACAGATGCGTAAAAGCAGCTCTAATCTATATCACTGGAAAATATCAGCCCCGACAGACGCAGTTTCCCTCTACCTAACTGTCCCTCAGACTCCACTCCATGCCTTCCAAGTTTTTTTCCTGTTTATGTTACTAATACAAATCTGCCAGTTAAAGCAACTGGATGTTTACAATAGTAGAGATGGATTTTTCTCAGTCTCAACAAGGATACGCCATCAACTGGTCATTCCTGGCTGCTTAAAGACCAACTGGTGTAACGCACAATGTGCAAATGATTTTTCACAAACCAAGCCACTGAGCTGCTCAATTCAGAGAAAAACAGTCAGTGAGGTGTTGTAAACAACTAACCACATAGAGGAATTAAATTGATCGATCCCATTTCAATATTAGAACTGCGAACATTTAATGATTTAAAAGATTAACGGAATTACTGAAAACTGATAAAATAACCTTTTCAAAGTGCTTCCTTATTTGTCCTCCACCAAAATTAACTCTCTGGGACTCAGTGCCAAAGGATGCAAGAGAAACATCAAATACAGCTGAAGCCAGGTATCAGGCATTTATATAGGCAGATAAGGACAAATCATACTGGTTTTGTTTGTGTTTAAAATATTGGCTGCAAGCCTTCATTAACCAGAAAATAAGATCACTGATGCAAAGCAACTTCACCAGCAATCTGGTTACTCCACACATTGCTGATTTTCTAGTGGCTTCCTCTGCAACACCAGGTCAGTTCTACCAAAATGGAGACATCTGGTCTGGACCCAGCTGGACATGAACTTCATGCAAATACTGTCAAGTTCAAGGCAGGTCACAGAATCACAGAATTGCTGAGGTTGGAAAAGACCTCAAGATCATCAAGTCCAGCTGTTAACCCAACACTGCTGATTCCACCACTAAACCATGTCCCCAAGCGCCACGTCTACATGTATTTTAAATAACCTCCAGGGATGGTAACCACAGAACCTCCCTAGGCAGCCTGTTCCAATGCTTGACAATCCCTTCCACAAATAAATTTTTCCTAATGTCCAATCTAAACCACCCCTGGTGCAACTTGAGGCCATTTCCTCTTGTCCTATTGCTTGTTACTTGGGAGAAGTTACTGACCCCCACCTCTGTACAACCTCTTGTGTTCCTGAGAAACCTTGCTTCTGTTTTCCTGGTTTATTGGAAGGCAGATGTATTATTAGCTACAAAGAGAGAAAGCAGCATTTGGTGGGCCCCAGATGCTGGGAGGTCTTATGTTCAGCCTCCTGTGGAGTAGACCTTGACAGAACTACCCAACAGGCTTTCATAAAAACAAGCAAGCAGCCTTGATCTAGAGTGATCATTGCCAGATACACAACACTAAGCTGCAAATGTGCAGTATGGCTTAGAAAGGCAATCCCAGCATGTGGATACTGCTGCATCCACACTGAAATTACTTCAGTAGCGTTTCAGATGAATTTGTAATATCCAAACAGGTAGCATCTTGTCATTGAAATAGTATCAAAAATAATGGCAACGAGACACCCAAGGCAAAAAGGAGGTGAGGCCTCAAAAGGTGTATACACTTTCTAAAGCCAAAGAAAGAACACTGTATTGCCAGGAAAAGATATGCAGCCACATAATTCAGAATTTACTGTCAGCTCTCACTAGCCTGAGTGGATTTTCCAGTTTGTGGGTCAGGTTTGTGCTGAACTGTGTTTGATCTGGAAGCTGTCTGGCCCCTTTCTGCTACACCTCACTTTGCACTCAGTTTTGTCTGCTGGCCTCTCTGTCCTCCATCACAGCCTTCCCATATAGTTGTCACAACACATTTCTGGATTACCACACTCTTCCCGTGTCCCTGGTAATCAGAGCTGGCCACACTGTGTGCATGTAGCACTGAAATTGCACCCAAAATCTAGCTTTGAGATGGTCTGAAGATTCAAGCCTTTCAAGAATCATACAGAACTATACAGGATTTTCCATTTAAACATCCTATGTCATCTGTGAATTATATTACCTATAGCAATACGTACAGGTATTTAATATAGATTACTATGTCCTATCTAGTAAAACAGAGTTTCTGCTGGAGCTTTGCTTCCTTTTGAAACTTTAAGAATAACCTGACAGGTTAGCCTGTTTCACAAAACGTCAGTAAGTCCAACACCACACTATGCCTTAGGAACAAGTGCCTTCAGAAAGAATACTGTCAAATTTAACTTTCTCAGAAAGTTCTAGCACGGCGCTCTCACGGCTCACACACATACATGTTGTGCAGTCCTGAAGAGTAGTAGGACAGAGTAGGGCTGGGAGAGCGTGTCTGCTGTCGCGCAGGCTTGGCTGTACGAGGAGGGATGGAAGGACTGGTGGAGGATGGCTTGGAACTGCGTGGTGGGACCGGGGGAGCGTTCAGGAGTCTGCATTCCTCTTTCACCTGTACAAAACAAGAACGTGTAAGTAAGCGGCAAGAAAGTCTGAGCAACAGCAGACTCAAGCAGAGTCAGGAGAACACATCTGGTTCTGCCTTATTCTTTGAAAGGAAATAATTAAAAAGGGAGCAGAAGAGAAAAATGCAAAAGTATATACATTTGCAACAGCTGTCATAAAAAAGTCCAAAAGAACACTTTGCCACTAGTAGAGTTACTAGCAAGCTTTTTTTCGCATGCATTTCAGTAGTTTATTTCATTGCTGCTACCTTTTATGCGAGTGGGTATCAATGTAAAAAAACCATCCAGAAAATCAGACAGACTATTCCAGATATTACACATTTTGTTAGAAGCAACTCATTAGGCTTAAACTTCATTCGTATTGTTTACTTAGATGTAATAAACAAAACTTATGTAATGAAAAGATCTCAACAGACTTTGATGTTTCTTGACTTATTTTGCCAGTGATACTCTGCCATCCAGCTCTAGGACAATTCTCAGCTTCCCTCCCTCAGAACAGTACATGCATCTAGTATTTATCAGCAGCTGGGATTCAAACTCGGAGCTTCAGTCCTTCTGTAGCTGCCAAAGCAGTCCAGGATAAGGTTGTACAAAATGTACAGGAGGAAAGGTGTAGGCAGAAGAGCCAACAGGTCTGCTTTGTGCAGCCAAACAACTTTGCAGCTTGAAATACAGAACTATAGCACTGCTTACCTGAAATTTAGTTTGGTCTGCCTAGGTAGGAAAAGATGTCAGGATCCATCCTCATAGAAAAAATGATGGAATTGAGAACTTAATCTTACCAGGACATATTTGGGAGAGCAACTTTATTTAGTAGGGCTAGAGGTGAGCAAGGCTACTGAGAATTCGGTTGCCAGGCAGGATTTTTAATGACTCACCACCTGCCTCTGGGCAGGAGAAGACCTCTATGTTCTCCTTGTCTGAATCAGTCTTAGATGCATCACAAAAGGGAAATTATTTTTGTGTTTGAAAGTTAAAGTTTATTTTTAAATTTTACAACACTGCAGAACTAAACCTTAGCAGTTCTGCAACACATAATTAGCAATTAAAGCAATTTAATTTATTTAAGAACAAAATAAATGTGGAACCTTTCACAATCCACTTCAGTGCTTTCAAAACGCAACAACCCATTTAGTACTTTTGTGAAATGGAAAACTGAGGACTAGGACATTGTAGAACATTTTTTTCCTAATCCAAAATGAGTCAAAATTACAGGAAATGCCCAACAGCATAAAACACTGAAATACATCTTGCTCTAAGGGGTCTTATTTGCTCTTTCAAGGAAAGGAAAAATAAAAATAATCAATTTTATTCACTTAGGCATAAAGCTCTTCAACCATTTCAGTGCTGTGCCCCAAGGATGCATGAGCACTTTTTTTTCCTCAAGTCAGACCAGACAAAGTTAATATTGCATGCTATTGAATGGGGTTAGAGAGACCATTCAGGGAGCTCTTGGGGCACAGCAGATGGTCAAAGGGTTAAAAGGATTCTTTCCTGGGAAGAATGCTGGCATTCAAAGGTGCTGGTGTAACAAACTATGCCAAACTCCCTTGCTGACCTAGATTGCAGATCAGAACAAGGCCATAAATAATACCTGTTTGCAGTCCCAGTTGGTCCCTGTCACAAAACCACAGTGACAGTTGCCAGACACAGCCCCAGGAAACCCAGCAGAGGACTAAAAAGGAGAGATTTTGCAGATTAAACTGACAAGAGCGAGGGAAAGCTTCAGAGGAGAGCTGCCCTCATTAGGTCCAAGAAAGAGAACAGCAAGAAAATAAATGCAGGAGATGAGTAGGACAGCCAAGATGTGACATAGCAATCACCTTGATGACTGCTGCTCCTAGTAGGAGATGCTCTTTGGCCCAGAAGCACTAGATGCCATATGGCTGTCAGATACAGATAAAACACATTTGCACTGCACATCTTGGGACTTCTATTTGACACTGTCTGAGCTCTCCCATGCTCCAAGACTCCTTCCGGTGACCTGGGAACAGTGACCCCTTTTCAATGGTGTGAGGTCTCTCTGCTCCTTTTCCTTGCTACCAGCCCAAGCCCTGCCAGCACCCCAGGATGTCACTCCTGAATCCAGGCACTGCAGGTGCCCATTGCTGTGACCACTTCTGAGGCTGCCTGGATAAACCCACCCTGTCACCAGGATGACGGCGAGCATAACACAGAGCAGTTCGATGTTCCTTGCCAACGGGAGCCTGAACTCTCAGTGCACTCCATCAGGGACATGCTTTAGATCAATCAGGAAAACAGTCTCTGATTTTATGCAAATTAGTGTTTGGGGACTGAAGCAATTTCTCATTTACAGGCCTCAATTCAGAGGTCATTCCCCCTCCCCCACCTTCTGGCTTCATGCTACTTTGATTTTCTGAAAGGTATTTAGGAATACATGATATATCAGAATGCTTCATCCTGCTGCAGAGGAGAAAACCAGAACAGCTTCTGAAATACCCAGGTGTCCTTTTCTCTCCTGCAAACAGCTCCTGGACACACATTTTAAATTTAGTGCATGCAAAAATACAATTGCCAGTCAACCTTTACACATAAACGCTATGGAATATCATTCTAGAGGGAGTGATGAGTAAACCGCATGTTCACCAGCAGCTCCTGAGATCTACTTACTCTATAAATACCTACATGGAAACCATGCAAACATCTCCTCAGCCCCAGCCCACAGATGAATTCAGTAGGTCACCGATACTCTTTCCAAAGCTGTTCCAGGAAGCCACAAAAGCAAGTCTGAATTATTACAATCTATGGAAATGTAGGGTTTTAATTTTGTTTTATTTTTAATGGGGTTTCACCCCATGCCCACCTCTAAATGCAAGCTGATATCTTTAGCAGAAATTACTTCTCCAACATGGCTAGAAAGCAATACTGAAATTGCTGACAGCACTCACACATTACCTCAGTAATGTAAGATACACATGACAAAATTGCACTTTTCAAAATAACTTTAAAAGGCAACATACACATCTATTCCAAACACCACCCTGCTGCCTGCAAAAGGGAATCACTATGCCACAAGGATGCCACAAGTATGAGGGTCCACAGGTCTCCCAGCACCCCACTGCCCACACCTCAGAGACAGCGTAAGACACTTATGCCTCAGGCATGACCCAGGCAGCCCCATGCCAGAAGGGCTGTGCCATCACCTTGCTGCGGGGGCAGCCTTTCTCCCCCACCACCCCATCCCCAGCACTGGCTCCAGCACACTCCTTTGACCCTGTGCTGAAGCAGTTCAGCTCACAGA